CGAGTTGTGTCGAGCTATTCATTAGTCTGTTTGATGAGAAAAATATGAAATGTAGTTGCAATAAAATGGGTTATTAATCCGTACAACTGCAGCAGCTGAGGACTATTATTCTGCTGTGTGATACTGCAGAAGAACTGATGACGGAAGGGTTTGATCTTCGGCTGACCAATCAGCAGAAAGGGACGTTTAATTCCCGCCCAAGTGTAGAAATCGAATATTCAAGCTGTTTATTCATTTTTCCACCCAAGAACGAAAAACGAAAATTTAAGCTGATTTCTCGTTTTTTTGGGAAAAAAACAAAAACACGAAAAAGGATCTGTTTTCTAATTTTTCTACTTTCAATATAAAATAAAAAAACGAATGATCGAATGGCTGTTTATTCATTTTTCCACCCAAGAACGAAAAACGAAAAATTTAAGCTGATTTCTCGTTTTTTGGGAAAAAAACAAAAACACGAAAAAGGATCTGTTTTCTCATTTTTCTACTTTCAATATGAAATAAAAAAACGAATGATCGAATGATACACGGATTCCATTTCCTATTGGAAATTATTTTTCCACTGCAGTTACAATTTTAAAATCAATGCAGACACTTAGTATAGTAAATAAGTAGTCTGCTTTATCTGGAAGTGTATTTGAGGTGGTTTGAATAAAAGGGAAGGGTGGGACTTGTTAATTCCCACACTATAGATTTGTCACAAATCCGGTCTATGAACTTCTTTCACTCACCACCAGAGGTCACCCTTCCATTACATTGACTCTTGCACTACACAAACTGTTGCATGTCATCCTGGACTACATATCCCATCATCCATTGCACTGATTACACACAGCACTGATTGCACACAGCTGTAACCAATCACACATTCACTATTTAACACTCACTCAGATCCCTTTCACACTGCTGAGTATTGTTTAGCGCATATCACTCACCTAGTGATAGCTACTCTACGGAGCCATTTCTAGTTTTCATTGTTTAGTCATAGTCTGGTCTTGCCTGCTTTCTCGTGTTACCTGATTATTGCCTGTTTCTCTTGGATTAACCCTTTGCCTGCTGTTTTGGACTGTGTTTGCACCTCCCCTGGACTCTAGCTCGTGTTATTGGATACCCCTCGTGTCAAGCCCTCTGGATATTGTTAGCCGCTGATCGACCATGCCCGTTTTGGATTACTCTTCTGTTTTGCCCTTAATATACCTGTTTGCCATTGTATGACCCATGCCTGTTTCATGACCACACCCTTTAATAAAGCCTTGCAGATGGATCCGCACGTCTCATTCGTCCCGTAACAAGATTAGTGCTGAGTGACAGCTGTCTGGTAGATTGACAGCTGCTGAATGGAGCAGGAGATAATACTTTGATTCGAGCTCTATAATGCTGTGTGGACCTGCATGCTATGGCACCATCTGATTTCATCACTGTTCTCATTTAGTATGACTTCTAACATTTAGAGACAGCTTAGCAGGGGATTCATTGATTTATGTGGTGGGCAGTCAAGTGAGAATACATCTGAATGTGCATATCTAATGCAACTGTTCTGTTTACAAGAGCATGTAACAGTTGTGAGTTTCTTTTATTAAGTCCTGGATTAAGTCTAATTGTAAATGCTCTGTTCACACTAATAGTTAATGCATTAATGATGTAGTCAGATTTTAGCATACTTTTTCGTAAGGTTTTTTTTTTTTAACCAATAATGAGCAGATAAAGATCCAGAACTAAATATTTGAAATAAAAGTGTAAATGATGCCTGTCGGATTTAGGATATATGCACTGCATGAAAAGTAAGGTTTAAACGTAAAGGTCTTTTCACACCTAGACAAATATTTGGTGCAGAAATTCACTGCTATATGCATTTTAAGTGTCACATTTAGCTTTGTATGGTGCAATACCATGAGTGAATTAAGTGTTGGTTACACTAGACTTTGAGCATGCTAAACTTCTTGAAATGGTTGTGATATGACATCATACTCTGTAGTGTCTTTAAAAAAATAAATAAAAAATCAGCATATAATCAATAATAAATACTAAATTAAAAAATATACGCTCTACTTCACCTTCCTGCAATGCTGCAAACCTGTAGCTTTAAAGTTGGTGTTCTTTTAATTCTGCTAAGAGGTCACTTGACGTATTGATCTTCTGTTAGACACACATTCAAACTTGAATTTTGGAAAGCAGCCTAATGCAAAACTTCTTCACATGAGCTTGCATTTCTAGTCTTCAGCATTCTGGAATTTCACATAAGGGATATTACCCACAAATGTTCCCATACAAATTTCACAGCTGGTTTAAATTTGAATTTTTAACATGCAAATTCACAGTGTTTACCAATATAAAGCTGCTGGGTTTCAAGTGACCTCTGAGTAAATGGTGCTTCGTGCATTGCGAAACTATTGACAATGGACAGTGTCTGCAAAATTTCACAAAAATATGACTGTGCCTTAATTTGCATGAGCGGCTGTTAGCACAGTATCTGTTCAGATCAACACAGACATTTGGATGCTGTCGGTGCAAATAAATAAATAAATTAATTAATTAATTACAAAAATGTATTCTAAAATATAATTATTAATTATGGAGAATGTTGAAAAAGTGTTCTCTCTTTTCAAACGCACTGCGAAAAACACTGGCCAGCCATTAAGATGTGTGTTTTTGTCACATGCGGAGATGCTGCTGTTACATACAATTTCAACTTAGTGGCGCTCACTAACAAACTATTTTGGTAATTGACAGTGAATAGCAGAATCTCGAAATTCAGTTCACATTTCTTTCAATTCATGTTTATTTGTATAATGTGTTTCATGATACACATCGTTGCAATGCAGCTTCACAGAAAAATAATGTTTCTACATTGCAGTTAAGAGCAATTTATCAGTGGTGACTATGTCAAAGTGATATCCATATGGCAGAGATGTACAGTTCTTTAATTCATGCAGTTAGTTAATGACATGCATCCAAACAGATGGTGAACATGATTAACAACAATGATTATATGTTGTGTTTAGTAATGTAAGGACAATGTGGTAGTTTTGTATATCGGTTCAAGGGATTCCCATCTTGTGGCAGAAACAGAAAAGCAGATAGAGAATAATTAGCATAGCTGCTGTTCATAACATTTCAAGCCAGGAATGATAATATACATTTGATTAGATATAACTGGAGTATAGGTTATTAGATGAATTATGTAAATGTTTGGCTTAAGAAATGTGTCTTTACTCTACATTTAAACAGAGAGAGTGTATCTGAGCCCCGAACAATATCAGCAAGGCTGTTCCAGAGTTTAGGAGCCAAATGCGAAAAGACTGTCTTAATCAAAATTAATTGAAGAAATGTATTGGTCATCCAATCTTTTATATCTTTAATAAACTCTATTAGACAATTTAGAAATTTAATTTGGTCTTGTTGAAATATATAGTTGAGTATCATCAGCATAACAATTTAAACTAATCTTTCTACTATTTTCTAATAATATTAACAAAGGGCCAGCAAAAAACAGAGGGCCTAAGACAGATACTTGCGGCACTTCATACTTTACTGGCATTAACTGAGATGATTCCCCATTTTAAAAAAAGTGGTAATGGTCAGACAGGTAGGATCTAAACCAGCTTAAAGCCTGTCCCTGAATACCTGTATAGTTTTGTATTCGATCTATGAGTATATCATGATCTATATTGTTGAATGCTGCACTAAGATCAAGTAAAACTAGCAATGAGATGCAGACTTGGTCTGATGCAAGAAGCAAGTCATTTGTAATTTTAATGAGTGGGGTTTCTGTGATATGATGAGGACTAAAACCTGACTGAAATGGATATAATTTTTGCAGGAAAAAGCACAACTGAGCAGTCACAACTTTTTCAAAAATGTTAGACATAAACGGAAGATTTGAAATTGCTCTGTAATTTGCCAGTGCTCTCAGAAATGGCTCTCTTATAAATACTTTTTTATTTCTTTTCTTTTCCATGACAAGTGGGTGTCAGAAGCAAAAAAAAGTTGCACACTGCTTTGTGTACCAGAGTAACTTTACTGAACATAAATTTACTGTATGTTTGTGTAAGGAGTTTTCTTGATTTCCAAATGTGCCATCTACTGTCAGAGTGACAGAAGATTTTCATTCAGCCTATCATTTTTCATGAAGGTGTGCAGACATGGCGGCAGCGGCAACAACAATACTATAGCGAGAATAAAAGTTACGCCTTCTTTCTTTACGTGAACATTTGGGCGGCGTTATGCAAATCTTCCCACATCGTGACGTAGACATGTGGGGGCGTGTTAGAACGAGCCGTTTTAGGTAGGCGTGGTTGACTCAACTTTTATAAAGAATATCTCTTTGGATTTGAGACTTTAGTCTTTGCAACTTTACAGATCTTCTTTATGCACCAAGAGCTTGTAACACCCCAAAGAGAAAGGAAAAATTGAAATCTCATCATATGACCCCTTTAAATGTGACTGTTTCTCTCCTCACAGGAAGAGGATATGCCAGAAGAAGTGAACATTGACGAGCTACTAGATCTACAAAGTGATGAAGAAAGGACGCAGAAGCTTAAGGTATCTGCTTTCTGAAACTACTGATGAGGAAAACCTACTGGTCACCAGTATGTGGTTTATTTAATTAGTTTAAAGGAACAGTTCCCCCTGAAATATGAATAATATGGACTACTTTTATGAGCAATTTCTTCTTCTTCTTAAATTTCTTCTTTTGTTTTCCACATAAGATCGAAACCCATAGGGTTTTAGAAAAAAATTAATATATTTACAGAGCTATTCCTTTAACTAGCAAGATCTCTTTGGTTGCAAGAACAGAATCAAACCAACATTAACCATCCAATCATTAAAAATAAATTTTTCAGCAGGGACATGATCTGTGTCATGCTCTTTATTAAATCTCTCTATTTCTGTTTATTGTAGGACATTCTTCATACCTGTGGAAACAACACAGAAGTATGTCCCCTACCTCCCTTTTCTCTTCCTCCCTTCTGCTAATCATATGTTATAATTCTATCACCCAATTTCCACACATAGCTTTAGTGTTTTATCTTTAACGAAATAACCCCCTGCAAGTGTTTAAGTTTATTGTAGACATAAAAATGACTCACTGTCACAATGCAGGAAATAGTGAGTGTTAATGAATAGACAAAATTCTTTGTCAAAACATGTTTTGGTTATGGGATAATACCCAGAAAAATAAAATATTTTTACTCAATGCTTTCTATAGCCAGAGGGTGTAGTTACAACAACCACCAGTAGGAGCTAAATGAGACATGCTAACCAGCTAACACCTCTAGAGCTGGGCTACAACCATTGCATCGTCCTTTGCTGCCCTCTGTTGACAAAATTGGAGAAGTTTATATTGACATGTCGATACTTTTAAAAGCGATTCAGGTCTTATTTTTATAAGTTGCGTTGTTTTCAAGATACTACTGACATATTTCATCATGTCTTTAAAGATTCTTCTCTGATGGTGTGCTTTTCTCCATGTCTTCATCAGGTCTTCATCACAGAATTGGTGAATAAACTTCATGGTTTGCAGAAACAAGAAGATCTTCACAACAATGGGATTGAACATCCCCAGCTTCACATCTTCCCTGATTGCCAGGGCTCTCCTGACACTGAGAGAAATTGAGCACCTGCTCAAACATCTACATCTCTTCAGTCTCCTGTATTAAAAACGCTTCATATCAACGCATCAGCAGCACATGTTGCTGTCTTTAATTTGTCAAGTAACAAAAAAGAAAAAGAAAAAAGAAAGAAAAACCCTATAAACATATTTATGTAAAAATCTTGAGTGACTAACCACTGCATGGACCTATGACAAGTTGTCTTTATAATTTTTTAATTTTAAACAATTATAAATTTGTCTGTAATGGTTTGTTACTGTAGAAGTGATTTCACATAATGAACGTGTATTTGTTTATTTAAATAATTATTTCTACCTGATCCCTTAAAATTGCTTTCATTGGTATAGCCCAATATAGTCAGGTTTATTTGGTAATATAAAAAAAACTTATTTGGCTTTAATAAAAAGTTAATTTAGTGAATGTTTAGGTCACCTGAGAAAACAATATGTTCAGTGCATAACAGCCATTTTAAAGAGTTTTTCCTTTGAAAGACTGACCCATGTAAAGGATTTTTCTCATGAAATTTGATTTTTTTTTTAATTTTGCTGAACCAACGAGTTTTTCCACAAATGGACCAAAGATTTTTGCAAGGTGCTTTTTCGATTTCAAATCAGTTACAGTAATTCCCTGTTGTGTTGTTTATGTATGTGGTTGGATTTTGCAGGATTAAATAATTTTTCAGGAAAAGTATATCAGTGCTGAATTTAATATGCTTCATTAAATTAAAACTGACAGCTTAAGCTTTTTCCCAGTAGAAATGAAGGCTGATTTGTGACAAAATAATAAGGTATTGTTAATATGTTTGCTGCTACTATATGAACTACTCAAGCTGGTCAAATGTATTGTATGTTTGAAGAAGACTCCACATTTTGAATTAATTCTTGAGTTTTCCTCGTCTAGCTCTGTATTTAGTTTGTATAATTCACCAGTATGTTTGTTTGTACAGTGGCAGAGTGGCAGAATTTTCTTTTGCCAAGCTTTTTTTTTTCCTTGCTTATTTTCCTTGTTTGTTTTATCTTGTATACATAATGATGTGAAACTGAGCAAAAAAAAAATAATGGGCTATTTATCTTTTGGTATCCTTTCATTTTAAATGAAACAAAAACACTCCAGCTAAAGAACACAGAAATAAAGAATGCTGTATACAACCCGTTATATCTTTGTGAAATAAAATAATTATAAATCTACTGTATGTCTTCTGTTAATTATTATTATTATGTTTACTAAAGTACTTATTATGCATAAATGTAAATAGTTTTGTGCTTGTATTTGATTTTGATTTTCTACCTTTTACTTTTACACCCATAATCAAATTTAAATAATGACAGATTTACGAGTTTGTGTTTTTTTCTTTACGATAAATTAAGAAATTTCAGGATAAATTATGGATATATCTATCTAACAAAAGATGTTGAGCTATCCTGTAAAAAAATCTTCTCACCTTCTGAAAAAGACAGCAGAGGGCAGTAATGCATCTGTGCATAACAAGGATCTGTTTTATGATATTTTGGTTACACAAGCTATTGTATATGTTAATGTATAACATAAATGTGTTTCACTTGACTTACAAACCATTTACTATTAAAAATCAGCACAGAAGATGTTTTATCATTTAATATTTTCACTGTAATAGTTTCATTCACGGACATTGGCATTCAGTTGCAGCTCTTATTCAGCTTTCATAAACAACTAGTCAGCCAATCAATCAGCAGTATTGCTTGTTGAAAGATGGAAACACATGAATGGCAGTTTTAAACTCTGTACAAAGTTAACATTTTGTAAACACATGCTATATCAGAACCATACCATGTCGACGGTGAGGCCTGTCAACAAAGGGATAAAAGAAACCAAAAGAAACATTGCTTTTCAGATAGAGCAGTGCAAATTCTTTCAAGCAGCAAAGTCATGCTTGTTCCTATGATGTAAACAACATGAATAGCACTGATTACCACAGTGCTGATCAAAGCCTCTATAGATCCGTGGGTCTAATACAATGCCGAGTCTTGCAGTAAGAAAACAAACAAACTACCCCACGCAGAGACGGTGCAGGTGCACTCATTGACCCGGGCACAGCAACCCGGCAAGTCTGCCCTGCTTTTTTCAACCCATAAACACCTTCAGATGTGTTAGGACGTTTAGCATCAACAAACACTCTCCAGACAAAAGCCAAGCAGGACAGTGGACTCCTACACACTCAGATCCACTTCCCTCACACCACACACCAATGATGACCAATCATGTTGGTCAAAAGTACACATATCCATGCAAGTCAATAAAGAAATTAACAGAAAACTACTGTACTGCATCCACGCCTCCCAGAGTAATCAATGGAGCCATAGTGCCCATGATCCCAGAGGCCCAAGAGGTGGTGGGGGAAGCTCGGAGCTGGTGGAAAGGAAAGGGGATGGCCGGCTTCCTGAGGAAAAAGCATCATCTTTTGCACTCCAAAACAACTCAGGAAGTGACCATAGGTAGCCCCGGGCTTCGGACGCACTTTCAGTTGGACGGCAGCACATGTATAGTTAGTTACTCTCTGAGTTGGACACTTACAGTCACTGTCTGACAAACTAACACACAAACACATACACAGATACAGAACCTCTGGGACACTGGGATGTCCCTGCTCTGAGTCTTCTAGGGATTTACCATCGCTTCACTGTCAAACAAGGTAAGAAGAACATTTTTCTGGTTTGACAGGGCTTTCTGACTTTTCATAGGGTCAAAATTGCTGAAATGACAAGTGGAGGCAGGGTTTGTACTTTAATAACAGTAGTTTAAATGTCATGGGGTTCTGCTGTTTCTCTTGGGTGCAGAAGGTTATTCTGATGTTGCGGTGAGCTGAGTGGATGTTGTGTAGGTCTCGGTGCCAATAATATGCCAAGTATACTTCCGTCTTCATACTTTTTGTACACTTCTTGTATATACAAAACTGGAAAGCGGTTTTGATCTTTATGATTGTGGAATATGACTAAGTACATCTTGATTTATTTAGCATCGTCTATGTTATGATGTTCACATGTGTCGGGTACTGATTCTTATGAAATCACTTTCTCTGGACATCTCGTCTCAAAACAGTGGACAGAAATCAAAGATAGAGGTCTTTGTAATCAGCTGGGTTTCAACTAGTTTCACTTCAGATTTGGCTTTGAACATCAAGTGGGGACCTAACTGATACTAAAAATGTTAAACAACAACAACAACAACACAAATCCCCAAAATCAAACTGTCAAAATGTTTTCATGTTACCTTGAATTGCATAGGCCTAACAATGTGCAAAATTAATTTGCATTTAAATGACACGGAAAGCCGTGTTTTTGTTTTTCTTAAATAAACAACAAAAGAAGTATGAATTTATTTGAATAATAAGTGAATTGTTTTTTAGTTTAGTCTGGCTTATATATTCTTTGACCTTGTGTAGTTTTGTTCTCTTTTGAGGATTTGTGTGTTTGTTTGTTTCCACAAAGACATCTGCCTTATTTGACTAGTTTCTGCCAGTTCACAAATGAATATGCCATAGAACAGTGGTTCTCACTTGGGGGCCGGGCCCACTAGGGGGCATCAGCAAACTTCCAGGTAATATTATGTAATATAACCAAAATTATTTAAATTACATCATCTTAATTAAAATGATAAAAACACAACACAACACAGAACATCATACTGTCATAATATTTTTATTTAACATTCATTATATAACAAAACCAGATTAAAAAAATGTAATATAAGTTGAGAGAAGAAAAACAAAAGCTGTCCATTTCACAAAGTGCTTATATATAACATGTGTATAACATGTACAACTAATGTGTACCATCAAGATTGACTTTTTGAAAGGATAATTAATGCCCCAGCGACAGCTTTTGTACTTTTTTTCGGAGCATGTTCAAGTGAGTGAAAACAACACCTGTGCCAAGAGTAAACAGATATTGCTGACGATAGAATACATGTACAGCAATAACATGACAACCATAAAACCCTGGGAGAGACAAAGCCATGCCATAATCAATCTTTCCTCAAATGCTGACTGATATCTTCCCCCACAAACCTCTTAAATTAGCTTTAACGTGACCCGCTCAATGTAAAAGGTTACACTTGTGACGTCCATCCAGTCCATTCCCGCTTGCAGATGCCCACACTACAGCGAAACAGAATCAGGATGCTACCAGCTAAAATGGGCCCCATAAAGAATAACCCCTTTTCCTCTGCTGGCATCCACCACACTGGAGCGTATCAGTAAGGCTGCGGCTGATTGCTTGCTGTGGTCAGGGCTGCTGTTCTAGTGGTATGATATAGAGCACTTCTCTCAGCACAGATGCAGAGGGCTTTTCCTGTGGTCCATATGGAGCACCATTGCAGGATGCAGGCAGGCTCTGATTGGACCATACCCGCTGACCCTTCACTAAGGTGCCAGCAAGAAGTTGCACAATAGTGGTGACAAACAGGGATGTGACTGTGAGCACACTACTTTGGGAGAGAAACCAAGAATAGTGTGTTGTACTGTAATCACAGTAGGACTTTACATTCAGCAATGAACAGACATTTGAGCCCCTTTTAAAAACAGTTGTAGTGTCTTTATTTAAACACATTTTAAAATAATGTAAATGATATAATTATAATATTTTTCACTATTTATAATTATTGAAATAAATAAATATGTATGTGTCATTTAAATATACAAGTTTTGCAGCTTTGAAAATATTGTGAACTATGCAATTAAAATCAGTTTTTAACACTACTTATAATTATTATAATTTAAAATTATTTAAATTTTTGTAATGTAAAAGTATTCAATTTAAATAAATTACTAAATAAATAACTGTACACTTAATGATGGGCAAAAATGTACACAATGTAATTATTATAACACATTATTTAATTATTATAATAAAATATACAATTTTATATTAAAGAAATAAATAATATAGATATAAAATAATAACAGATATATGATAGAATAAATAATAAAAAGAAAATATTTTACACATAATACTTTATAAATATTTATAATAATTGTATTTTTACCGGTATATATGGGCCATTATAAATTATATTTTATAAATAAATAAATACTTTATAATCTGATACTTTTTAAATAAATAAATATAAAATAATAAGAGATAAATAATATAATAAATAATAGAAATAAAATATTTTACACATATTTATATTAATTGTATTTTTACCAGTATATATGGGTCTTTATAAATGATATATAAACATGTGATATTAGATTTTAGAAAGAGGATCCCTCACAAAGGGATCATAATGTTTGGTCAAACAAACATTTTACAAAAATAAATCTGAAAAACACAAAATATTGCTAAAGCACATCAAATAAAACATGGGCTGTTGAGAAATATTTGAAACATCGCCAAGGTGAACATAGTAGGCAGAACAGGAGCAAAGGATGCACCAACAAACACACAACAATGACAAAGTTAATGTTATGTGGTGTTATTTCCTGCTCCCCAAGCCAAGAATTCACCCCAGTTTGCAGCTTCTCTTTATACAGTGCTTCTTTATTTAGTTCTCGTCTTAGATGTGGCGCCAATTGTGGTTTCCTGATGTGCGTTTTGCCCCCTGATAATCAACAGGAACAAGTATGTGATGTCCTTGTTCGGTTTCAACTGAAAAATATAGCATGCACTTATAATTGATTAGCAGGGAGGTCAAGGTGGACATGAGAAAGTGCATCCAGAAGATAAGTGAGTAGCTGCAAAAGCAAAAAAAAAAAAAGAAGAAGAAAGATGCTTGACCTTTTTGAAGCCTGAATGTACAGTATGTAAATCAATTCCCCCCATTTAAGCAGCCCAACTGGTCAACGCTCTTGTTTTTGAAAAAGAAATACGAGTTAAATAGCCATGCGAAGTTTTTGACCTCTACACTTATAATTGATTAGCAGGGAGGTCAAGGTGGACATGAGAAAGTGCATCCAGAAGATAAGTGAGTAGCTGCAAAAGCAAAAAAAAAAAAAGAAGAAGAAAGATGCTTGACCTTTTTGAAGCCTGAATGTACAGTATGTAAATCAATTCCCCCCATTTAAGCAGCCCAACTGGTCAAAAAGCTCTTGTTTTTGAAAAAGAAATACGAGTTAAATAGCCATGCGAAGTTTTTGACCTCTACGAATGTCCCTGAGATTCATTGGA